CCTGTACTTAATTGTCTCCAACATCATAACTGTTCTACATATTCTCGCTGTGGACCTGTAATCCTTGATGTTGTTTGTGTTGTTTATGTTGATTGATATCTTAGGTTGGTACTGCTGATGCACTTGCCTTCTTTCTACCGGGCGTTGTAAGCCGTTTTGCAAAGGCCTTATATGTATCAAAAAATATGATTAGTGGTGCTGCTGGAAGCTCTGTGGCCATCGAGCAGGCTATTTGTGGTTTGACTGAGTTCTTGATTATTGTTTTAGACGATAAGGCAAATCTGCACTCCCTTGACATGCCTGTAAATGATATTGGATCACTTGCACCCATGGAAAATAACTCTACCCAATCTGTTCTAGAGGCTCTTCGTAGTTTACCTTTAAATGGTCATGTTCAGTCAGCAAATATGATTGGAGATTCGTTTAATCAAGCTATCAACGATGATCATAAACGAAAGATAGTTGATCATAGCAATGGCGAAAGAACTTTATTCGTACATCGTTCCAAGGAGTGGATTGATGAAACTTCTTCTAATGTTGATAAATTAATGTCTGCTGCATTTCCACATGTATGTATTATCATCCTCCCTATTATTTGTTTATTTTGTTGTTTTCTTCGAGGTTTCGTGGGTAATGGGATCCATTATTAATCCTCTCATCTGTGACAATAAAGTGGTTCATTGTCATTTTCAGCTTTGTATTCATCCTGCAGAAAAGGTCAGAAAAGCACTTGTAGATGGCATACAGGGGCTTCTGTTGAATTGCAGATGCACCTTGAAAAGAAGCAAATTAATGCTTTTGGTGAGTATACTGTCTTAGGTTCAGTTGTTGTGTGTGATCTATCATTATGGAGCAGAGGCATAATGGTTTCTCTTAACTAAAACTTTTCTTATTATGACTTGGTTCAGTATTGACTTTTAATTCTTATATATATATTATTAATTGCTTAGTTTGATTATTTTGAAAATCTAACTGCTGTCCTTTCTTTTGTGGCTATTTTATGAATGCTTAAACTGTACAATGTCATGAATTATATTGTTGTTAATAGTGATAATGAGTAAAATTCGGTGGTTCAATTTTAACAATTTTTTTTATGATCTTGTTCTATACTTCTCTTAGATCTTTGTCTTTGTTATGCTACTCCTGCATTATATTAGCACTGCCATTAAACTTATGTGCAATCATGTTAACTTTTATGGTTCATAATTTCATTTAAGTGATAGTTTAGTTGACAGGAGCATTAGAATAATAGTATGTGCAGGTTTGTCTCCTGTTGACATGGTAGTTTGGGTTGAATTTTATTGCTAATTCCTTTTCTTGTATATAATAATTGCAGGAGTGTTTGTGCGTGCTGGTTTGTGACGATGCAGATGTTGTGTCCATGGTAGCACAGGAATCCCTCGAATCTTTATTTGTTTTGGGTGAGAAATTTATAACCAAAAATGAAATTGCTGATATATTTACCAGGTTTGTTCTCTTATTAGTTAGTTAAGAAAATAGATAATTTTTGTGCTGCTGCAGTGAATCTTACTTTTTCAACTTGTTGGCAGCCTCATCAAAGCGCTTCCACGTGTGGTTCTTGGAAGTGATAAGACAATTGCTTTGTCACATGCTCAGAAACTACTTTCTCTAGTCTATTATGCAGGTCCAGACCTTTTAGTAAATTACCTTCAGTCTCCTGTAAGTACAGATGTTCACAATTTTTTGTTTCCAGAGAATGTATTATTTATTTTCTGTAGTGTATTGGGACCTTCTTATTTGTGTTTTTGACTTCAAAATCCTTTGCATGTATTTATTCTTGTGATAAAATTTTCTTTTATTTACATGACATACAGTGCTATTTAACTACTAAACAGTGTGTTATTTGTATCTATTCCCTTTTTTTTTATGTTTTTATTTCCTTTTCATGGTTAATAATGAACTTTAAAGAGAGGGCAAATATACTTGTTTCAGCCTTACGAAGGTAATTCAACCCATTTCTACAAATGGTTTGGAGCTTATCTTTTAATATAGTTTTTGGCTAGAACAAGGTTTACAATTTCAGTCCGTACTAGTGTCCCGACCATACGTTGGTACGGTACGTACCGAGACATACCGACGATATGCCCAAAATAATCGAAAATAGTTCTAAAAATACCT